AAGTTTTATCTCCTGTGTCAAGATGGCTGTTAAAGGTAAGATATTAATGTGGTTATTTTTGTTGCGTTTCGTGTGTATTTTTTACCTTTTTTTCTTTCTTTTTAATGTTTTTATCTTTATTTTATCTGTTATTGTCTTTTTTTTCGATTCGTATTTTAGTTCCATCATTGCTATCTTTTTGTGGTTTTCTGTTTCGTCTTTATCTATTTCTTAATTTAATTTTGAATGTGGCATTTTGAATTTCAATTATCATTAATTCCTTACCATTTACTCGGTGTGTAATTTTATTTCCTTTTTTTTATTAAATCTACTTCAAAAATATAAATAGCAAATAGTGGTCACAGTTTCATAATTTTCCTTCTGAGTCAAAAATGTCAACATATGCTTCCCGTGATTTCGTTATTCGCGATATATAATCTAGAAAAAAAATATAAAGAATAAATATAATCGCGAATATTTTCCAATACTAGTGAAAACGTGAAAAAAAATAAAAATAATTTCTAAGCTTTACACAAAACATAAATGTATATCGGTATGAGTCGTCGATATCATATTTTGTAACAGTCGATTCTTTCTCATCAAATAATGTAAAAAGAAAAAAAAAAAAAAAAAAAAAAAAAAAAAAAAAAAAGTTACCAGTGAAGATTTACATTCGATAACAATAACTATCAAATTAATTCAGTTTTTATTTCTTTATTTAATGTTTTGTTTATTTTTTTCTGTTTGTGTATCTTTATTTTGTCTTATTGTTTTGATTTTTTTCTTTTTATTCGTGTTTCATTTTCGTTGTCTCAGTCGCTCTGTTTCTTCGTATCTCAATTTTATCCGGCTATTTTTTTCTTTTTTTTTGGCTTTGACTGTGGTTATTCTGATCTTCAAGATACAAACCTGAAAACACGGGAAATTAGAACGATAATATCACACTTGTTACCCCTATCCATCGCCCCCACAAAAAAATAAAGAATAATGATAATAATAATAGTCATTATTATTACGATGACAATGATAATGATAATAATAATAATAATAATAATAATAATAATAATAATAATAATAATAATAATAATAACAACAGTGACAATAACAACAACAATAATAATAATGACAGCAACAACAACAATAATAATGATAGATAAATAAACAAATAAACAACTTTCCCTCTTCTCCCCTCCCTCCTCCCCCCAGTTACCATCGCCCTCCTCCTGCTCCTCAACGCCTGCGTGGCCATCCAAGCCTCCCTCGAAACCGGAGACGAAGAAGCGTACGTCGAGAACGCCCTTCGCTTCGACGACGACGTGGGCGAAGAAGGAGCTAAGCGCGAGGGGCGTCTCTTCTTCACCGCCGGCTTGGACAACAACACCCAAGTCAACATCAATATCCAGGCGGTGTTGGTGACTATCGCTTATCTCGTGGGCATCGGGTTGCTCATCGCCCTTATCGTCGTGGTGGCTACCGGGGGCGGCTCGGCGTCCTGGGGATCCTGGTTCGACAGGATTATGAAGAGCCAGTGAGTATGATGGGGGGTTTACAGAAGGAATATTTTATTGTTGTTTTTTTTTTTTTTTTTTTTACTTTTAACTTTTCTCTCTTTTATTTTAATAATAATGTGAGTTGAGAGATGGTGTGTTAGGATTGTGTGTTTCGGGTTGTGTGTGTGTGGGGGGGGGGGGGGGTTGTGTGTGTGTGCGTGTGTTTTTTTGTTTTTTTTGTGTGTGTTTGGGTGTGTGCGTGAAAGGAATGTATCTTGAAAGCACTATGTATGCGTGAGGACGACGATTGTAGCTCAGTAAAGAGGAAGGAGAGAGGAATAGATTTATCCAGGTTGACAGATTAAGGAAAAATTCTGAAAGTGCAACTATAAGAATGACAAGGTAAAACATTATCAAAAATTTATTGTATATGAAAATATCAATTGTATTACATTGTTGTGCTGTAGATGTAGCAATATCTAGTCTTTACTCACGCTATAAGTAAGTACAAGTAGCTGAACTGATTTGATACGTCGATATTATATAATTCAACTTCGTGAATAAAACTAAATGTTAAAAAAAACACGAAGAAAAGTCGATAACCAATTTATCAAAACATAGTGTAAATAAGCATCCTTTGATACCAAGTTTTATATTCTTAGTTACTGATGAAATCCCAAAATTAGTGATAATATAACTAAGCGTCTTTTAATACCAAGAGTACAAGCAAAGTTTTAAAATTTTAGTTATAGATGAAATCCCATAATACAAACTAAGCATCCTTTAATACCAATAGTACAAACAAAGTTTTAAAATCTTAGTTATCGAAGTACCAAACCTAAGCTCTCTACCTTCCACTATCCACAGGGGTTATGTGTACCAGCCTACCTACAACCAGGACTATTACTATCCAGACAGTAGCTACGCAGCATACCGGGCTTTCGAGGAGGTACCACAAAAATATGGTATCTATGAAGAGGAAGATCAGTCTCAAGAGTGAAGAAAAGGGAAGTTCTTTGGGGAAATTATGTTGTAAAAAGAATTGAAAAGAAAAAGAATTTACACTTAATCTGCATTATTTAAAGTCATCAGTAGAGGAAGATATATTATGATATTGAGGTAAAAAATCTTACTGTTGGAAAATTGTTATATTTAAATAGACAAGATATATACAGAGTAGATATAATCTTGGTGATCAAAATTCAGTAATAACAGATCTTAAATCATAATATCCTATTTATTAGACTATGGAAAACTCTTTCAGGATTTCTTTTCAGAAACACTTTATATACAACATATAAGCTATGTAACAATTTATTAGTATCAGAATATAGGTCGCTATAATAATTTTTAAGAATGTAGCACCATTTCTACCTTATTTTCATTTTATCTGGGATACTATCCCTATTTTATCTAGTAACCAAAAACAGTAGTAAAAAATAAAGAAATCATAAACTTTCTTTAGCGATTTTACATAAAATTGTAGAGAAAGTTCCTTATATATTTTTTTTCGTTCTCGTTAACGAAAAAAGGGAATATTTTTTTAGTTCATTGCCCGATTTTTTTATCCTGCTGTACACATTTGGTAATGAAGTAACATAGCCTTTCTTGCATGTGTCAGTCTTGATTCATACTTAGAAAATAATAAGTAATAAAGTTAACTTAGATGATGTATATGTAACTACATTTATCAGTTACTGTATCTGTTATTCATGTTTTTGTTTTTTGTTGTTCTAGTTGTTGTTATTGTTGTAGAAGTGTTGCTTTAATTTATTATGTATATATCTGTAAATAAATTAACCGCAAATGGGCCAATAAGCATCTCAATATCCTACATATTATTGATTTCTTTATCGAAACAGAAATCTCTTTTATTGAGAGCAGATATCTTGTTTGATTGTTTGCTAATAATAGTAATGGTAATCTCTCTCTCTCTCTCTCTCTCTCTCTCTCTCTCTCTCTCTCTCTCTCTCTCTCTCTCTCTCTCTCTCTCTCTCTCTCTCTCTCTCTTTCTCTCTTTCTCTCTCTCTCTCTCTCTCACTCTCTCTTTTCCTCTCTCTCTTTTCCTCTCTCTCTCTTCTTCTCTCACTCTTCTTCTCTCTTTCTCTTCCTCTCTCTCTCTTCCTCTCTCTCTCTTCCTCTCCCTTTCTCTTCCTCTCTCTCTCTTCCTCTCTCTCTCTCTTCCTCTCTCTTTATCTAGCTATTTATCTATGTACCTCCAACGCCTCTTTCTCTCTTCCTCTCTCTCTTTATCTAGCTATTTATCTATGTACCTCCAACGCCTCTCTCTCTCTCTCTTTCTCTCTCTCTCTCTTTCTCTCTCTCTCTCTTTCTCTCTCTCTCTCTCTCTCTCTCTCTCTCTCTCTCTCTCTCTCTCTCTCTCTCTCTCTCTCTCTCTCTCTCTCTCTCTCTCTCTCTCTCTCTTCTCTCTCTCTCTCTCTCTCTCTCTCTCATTCGCTCTCCCTCTCAATCTCTCTCTCTCTCTCTCTCTCTCTCTCTCTCTCTCTCTCTCTCTCTCTCTCTCTCTCTCTCTCTCTCTCATTCGTTCTCCCTCTCAATCTCTCTCTCTCTCTCTCTCTCTCTCTCTCTCTCTCTCTCTCTCTCTCTCTCTCTCTCTCATTCGTTCTCCCTCTCAATCTCTCTCTCTCTCAATCTCTCTCTCTCTCTCTCTCTCTCTCTCTCTCTCTCTCTCTCTCTCTCTCTCTCTCTCTCTCTCTCTCTCTCTCTCATTCGTTCTCTCTCTCTCTCTCTCTCTCTCTCTCTCTCTCTCTCTCTCTCTCTCTCTCTCTCTCTCTCTCTCTCTCTCTCTCTCTCTCTCATTCGCTCTCCCTCTCAATCTCTCTCTCTCTCAATCTCTCTCTCTCTCTCTCTCTCTCTCTCTCTCTCTCTCTCTCTCTCTCTCTCTCTCTCTCTCTCTCTCTCTCTCTCTCTCTCCACCCCCCATTTCTATCGTCCCTCTATATGTTTATCTATTTGCCTTTCAGTCTATCTGTACCTATCTAATATGTCTACCCATCTTCCTATCTATCTACCTTTCTATCTATCATCGTTGCTGCCTTCCATCTTTTTCTCTTCCACCCTTTCATCTCTATTTTTCAAAATATTTTATCTTGTCATCTATCTACCGTCCTTCCTGCCTTCCATCCTTCCTTTAATCTTTATTTTTCATTTTGTTTCACCTTCTCATCTATCTATCTATCTATCATCCTTCCTACCTTTCATCCTTTCTTTAATCTTTATTCTTTCACTTTATTTCGCCTTCTCATCCTTTCTTTAATCTTTATTTTTCACTTTATTTTACCTTCTCACCTCAAACCGCCTTCCATCCGGGAAATTGAGAAACGAATAAAAAACACACCCTGTAAACTCATTGCATTTTTAGTGTGTTTTTTATTATTATTCTTTTGATATTCATGTATTCCTAGCTACTTCTTGGGCGTGTAAAGCTGAGACCACGCAGGAATTTAATGAAGGGAGAGAGGGGGAGAGAGAGAGGAAGGGAAGGAGAGAAAGGGAGGGTGGGAGAGAAAGGAAGTGAGGGAGAGAAGGAAAGGAAGGAGGGAGGGAGGGAGAGAGAGAGAAGGTGAGAGAGAGAGAGAGAGAGAGAGAGAGAGAGAGAGAGAGAGAGAGAGAGAGAGAGAGAGAGAGAGAGAACGAGGGAGAGAAAGAGAAATAAAGAGAGAGAGTGAGAGGGGGGAGCGAGGGAGGGAGAACGAGAGAAGAAAAGAGAAAGAATGAAAGAGGGAGTATACACGGACAAGGAAAACTACGCAAGAAATTTATTGTTTCTTGCCAATCCAGAAAAGTTTCAGGAAAAACAAGTAAAACAAAAACAAATATGTATTGCCGGAAACAGAGACAAGAAAATTAAATGTCTGGAATATTAACTTGTTAATAACATAATAATTCTATTACAAATAAAATAAGTTCACAAGACTAAATAAAGTGAAATTGATTTATGAACTTATTATTATTACTAATTAATTTATTATGAATTTATCTATTTATTATTAATAAATCATGAATTTATTCAGTAAATTAATATATGACATGAAATTAATCTAATTATAATGTACATAGAGATAACTGTCGAGGCACAAACTAAGACCCTGAAAGTGATATATATAACTCCTTCTAACTCATATAAATCGATTTATCTTCTTTACAAATTATTCCTTCATGTATATGCTTTTATCAATAGAAGTCGCAGATATCAAAAAATATATATATCTTAGGTTTTGAATGTCAAAGTCAATGAAACACAAAATAATGAATATTCAAAATACATTTTTTTTTCGCTGAGTGAGAAATAAGACAGTTGCTATGAAAACACCGTAATATGAAAACTTATTAAAATTACAACAGATACGTCCATACGATTCGTACAAAGAGATTCGTTAAGGATATTCATGAGGTACAAAATTCAGGATGATGTATGAGCTCTGTCAAATTTTAAGTTTTTTTGGTTTTTTTTTCCTCGATAAGAGTCGGTTAATTTTCCACCTTAGCCAAGTCAGGACGCGCCGTAGGGAGGTAGGGGGAGAGAAGGGGGAAGGGGGGAGAGGGGGAGGGAAAAGGTGGGGGAGGAGGGTAAAAGCGACACCCCCCACCCCCCCTCCGTGGCTACGAGAGTAACAAAACACAAACATGGAATTCCGTTACCTCAGGACTTTTATTGGTTCTCCTCCCTCCCCCTCCCTCTCCCCCTCCCCTCTTCCTCCTCCTCCTCCCACCCTCTCCCTCTTCCTCTCCCTCCCCCCCCCTCCTTTGAAATACGCCTCTTGAAATGTAGGTCACGAAGGAAGTCGACTCCCACTCCCCCTCCCCTCCCCCCCTGCGGTATGTCCTTTTCGCCCGCAGGTCTCTGTGCTTGGGCTGTTTCTCCCTCCTTACTCCCCCCCCTCCCCTCTCCTCCCTCCCGCTTACACCTCCCACCACGCTCCTCCCCCTCCTCCTCCCCCACTTGCTTAGGCTGTTTCTCCTTCCTCCCCCTCCCCCCCTCCTACCACTCTCCTCCCCTCCTTCCCTCTCCCCCCTCCCTCCTCCCCTTCCCTATCCCTCCTCTCCACCATCATTCACTCTTCTCACCTTCTCCCAACCCCCCAAACCCCCTCTTATTCCTCTCCATCCCCTCCCATCCCCACATTCCCCCCACGTTCCCTCCCCCACCTCCCAACCCCCCCCTTTCCTAAGAGTTTCTCCAAGCGCTACACCTGCGTCCGCGCGACACTGACATTACCTGACATTTAAAGAGAGAATATATATATATATATATATATATATATATATATATATATATATATATATATTAGGGACAGTTGAATGACTATATATAGGCCTATACAGCGGTGATTATGAAATTTTGAGATGATATATAGACGATTTTTTTTCTTAATAATTGTTATTGATATACGATATATAAACTCGTATATTTTCTTCTTTTTCTTTTCTTTTGAATTGTCGTTTATGTTTATGCCTTTTTCATTTCCCTTTTTTGTTTGAAATGTTATTTTTTTCTCGCACTTCCTAGCTTTTTTGGACACAATGGCCAAAACGAAATAAAAATCAAGGTTTAAGATCAAAAGATCTTAATCATACAACCCTAAGTCTTCCATTTTCTTTTCTCATTTCTATTTCAGTTCTGTTCCTTATCTTTATTTATCTCCACTGCCTAAATTCCTTCCATAGAGATACATCGCCTATTTCCCCCAATAAAGATACCAACATCCCGGTATCTGGTAACACTGTAACAGACTCTGATGTTACCAAGTGATTACTTCGAATACCCACTGCCTCCTACCCTCCCCTACCCATCACTACCCATCCCTACCCACCCCTGTCCACTCCTACCCACCCCTACCCACCTCTACCCATCCCTACCCACCCCTACTCCCCCCTACCCACCCCATCCCTTATCTTGTGACTTAGCACTTATGGTAATTCTGTCATAAGGCTGAATTTCCTTCAAGTTTTCGAGTCACTCTAGATCATTTTTTTTATTAAAATGTAAAGAGAGATTTTGTTATTATTG